AGAGTCAACATGATGTTTGAATTGTTCAGTCCTATGGCCTAAGAGCTCCAGAAGTATCATGTGGGGAATAAGGGAGGAAATCATCGATTGATGATTGATTATTTTCACCATCGTATCAGTGCTGACAGCAAGCAAACGATGCCATTCATTCGAGCTCTGAAACCCAGCTTCCAGAGAAGAACTCATCGATCAGGTCGTTTTGCACTCCCAGACATTTTGGATGTTTCCACCAGTGATTAAGTTTGCTTGCTACAGGATTCGATGAGAGTGCTGCGTATATCGACTCATTAATCACTAGGACTCTACATAAGAGGATCCGTGGGAGTTATTATAGATATTTTCGTCGACGACTTCGCCGTCAATCGTCTATCGATGATGATTGTTTGTCTGCGTTCAGTAAATGATTGTTTACACAATTCTTGTGGACCCGGGACGTTTCGTCGCCAGAAGGTCGCAATTGATTTTCGCTCCGGCAATATTTTTCCATCAGGCAATACATGATACCTTCAAGACATTTGAAAGGTTTGAGTTCTATTTCGTGTACTCCTGCGATGAAAGCATACGAACAGTGTGGACGATTGTCTGTTGGGGTTCTATGGGAACATCCAAACAATAGAGAAGGTGGCATCTGTTTCCTGGCAACATCTCATTCCCAGCTCAGGTCGGTGATATGTTTCTGACTCGATGCCTTACGAGAATTAAGCAAGAAGCCTCTACATCTATTCTGAATCGTGGTCGGACATTTTTGTCTCATACGTATCCCATACTCATCATTGAAGGTGTGACCATAATCACCTCGGTTGAAACGCTCCTCTACCCTATCATCGTGATTCGGGGGAAAATGAGCTCACCTCTCCCGAGAGGGAGCGACTCGACCAATTTTCGCGGGAGATAGTCTACAATCGAAGTGAGCTCATCGGACCTTCCAAGGGACACCATTGATCTACGACTCTGTATTCTTAAACGAACTGTACACAAATGTTATTTCCGTCGGGATACTGATTTGTTCCCCATTCGCTCAGCCCAGATTCCACAACTTTAGCTGCTCTGGATTTCGATAAGTATCGGCTGCTAGATAGATTGTTAAGGGGTCGCTGAAAGAGTTGCTTGAAGAAACTTATCGGGGACCCATGCTTGAGATGGGCGATACGATCGTTCAATTTAAGGAAGAAATACGTCATAAAGACGCATTACCGAGAAAACCAATGATCAAGGATTACAGTGCTCCAATGAATGAGAATGTCGCTTATGATTATACATGAGAACTGCAACTAAGCTTTTGCACAGCATGCACATCGTGGAGTCAAGCCCAGCGGCATGTGAAAAACCGACGACGGCGGCGGCTAGCAGATGCTCGATGATTCTGTGAGTTCCTCTGGGAGTGAGAACGATTTGGATTCGAGTCGGTCGAGTTGAGATTCCATGAAAATATCAACGAGCAGACTGCTCCCCGGTCGAGTCAGCTGCAATGGCGCCGGGTCGACTATTGAAAGACTTTGCGGGCACAACTGCGTTCAGTATTCTCTTGGAAGGAGAAATGGAATCGAGTTTCTCTCTTCTAGGCATATTTTGTCCCCCAACTCTATCGTTGGGAGATTTTGCGAGTGCTGTAGAGTCGAATCAGACACAGACTTAAATCGTGCTCCGTGGGTGAACGATGGACGTGGCGCTTCGCGCCAGATACTCCGCGCTAGGTGGAAATAGGACTCGGCTGCTCGAAGTTCAGCCGTCAATAGGATATCGAGAGAAGAAGCCGAATCGAAAATTCAAGGACGGACTGACTGTTGTTGAACCGCTTAGGTGGGCGGTCTCCTGTTCGTATCTTCGCCTATTGATACTTCTATGATAATAATCTGTTCGCATACCTATGAATCGGAGCTCATTAATTGTATATATAGTCCTTAGTGTAGACGTACCTACACATATCTGACATGATGTATTGCAGTGAAAGTGAAAGCCCATCGGGTTGAGAGATCAGTCAGTAAAAAGAGTATACGATTGATCGATCACAGGGATCTATCGCAACTTTTCCTGTGTGGACGACGACGCTATAGATTCTCTGAGTCCCGTCCTGATTCGGGGTTCCTAATGTACATATTGTGTACCCATATATTCTGAAACTACGCTTCTAGCTTCACGAGTAAAATAGAATAATCGTCTGGGGTTCGAAAGCGTCTCTTTCTCGGGTTTCTCAAAGCGAGTGATTGGATCGTACGTCGTATCATCGAGATTAGAATGGGGCTGCGTTCGGAAAATAAAGAAAGACTCGGTCGTTGAGCCGGCGAAGTACTGTCCGAGCACAACGCTTAAATCGTGACCGCTCTCCAGATCTATAGCCGCTTGAAGACATTAATGTTGGATGAATAATTCGATTATCTGCTGCGATAAGTAGACCGTCTAGCTGTGTGCAAATGAAGATTGTATCGAATTAGATTGATGTTCTGAGAATATATCATCCTGGCGTTCTGTGCTGAATCGCTATGTTCTCTCTGCTATGGAACGGGAACATAATCGGTGGGAGTAGAATCTGTCTCTCCTCCCAAGATTGTATCGCAGGGTTCCTGCCGAGCTCCGCGGACTCTACTCACTAGACGGAAAATCTGAGTTTTTACTCACTTCCTCCCGGGTCATTGCTTACCACAGAATCTGTGACTCAAGCAGTCGGAAATGAGCAGATTGAAAGACGCAATACGAGTACCACTAGCATCATCGAAATTGAATGCAGAAATAATACAGTCCCAGAAGAGAGCTTCTCCGGGGATTGAGGGACGGCTCAAAGGAAGTAGAATGCCGTATAAGCTCATGCTAGATGAACGCTCGTATCAGACACTGAATGAAAGAACTTGGTTAGGATTGAAAGACCCTGACATTGATTCGATTGGCTGTGTTTGCGGTGTTCAAATGAGATTGTGAGGCTTCGTGAGCGTGTTTGTGCCAAAATGATTCATGTGCTATGAGTGTGAATGAGTGTTCGCTCGGAGTTGTTCGGGAAAGTCACATCGGAATCCGCTCACAGCGCAAAACGTCCTCGGGAAATCGGCCGAATTCCATATCCTAGGTTACATTACCGTATTTCATTGATTTTTGCCTTTTCCCCCGCCGTCCGTACCTTAATTCAAACACATTCCATAACAGTAGTAACAATAACGAACATTTCCACGCTCAAGAAAGATCAAATGAGATCAACGAGTCCACCAAAAATCCTAGTATCAATGTGACAAAACCAATAATTTAGAACACTTATCGCTAGAAATTTGAATCGCTCAACGATGTCCGGCCAATCGAAATGTTGCTCGATGAAACGTTCAACGATCATCCCACCAATTATGCCGTGACTTCCATCAACGACGGAGGGTACAGAATCTCACAAGGAAATCATACGATCATCATCCCGTACAATCAGCCGTCTTCGGACGAGGTGATCAGCTCCTTACTCTTCTATTCTTCGATCTTTGCCACAAAGGGGCGACACACACTCGAACGAGATCATTATTTGCAATCTATTCGTACAATAGTCAAAACGAAAGACAAGTGCTTAGTACAATCATCCCCACAATAGTCGTAGCTTCGAAGAAGAGAGCAGCTAAACTCGCTCTCGTAGAGTTCACCACCACCACCTTTCCATGTGTATGCACGCATGATAACTGATGAGTCAGGTCAATCGAACACAATTCCAGATCCGCTCCCTCTCTAGCAGAGAAGCGATCTCAGCAAGTGTTTTTGCATTCTCATGAGATCCCTAACGTGGTTGCGGTTAATTCTTGCTCTTACCCGTCGTCGCCGCCTCCGCCGCCGTTTGCTGCAGCTCGACAGCCATGCTTCATTGACAACATCGTCAAATCGAACGGAAGCTAGCGCCGAGTACCATCGAAGAAGGATCATCCTTGATGTTGAGTCACAGCCCACAACAGACGGCCGAACGAACGAAGCATATGGAGACTTCCTCATCTGACCGAGTACACACGACTGCTCGGGAACATACGCCCGCGTTGAGTTGAGCACAGGTTCCGTTTTGAATCCCCACCTTCCCTACCTTCATAGGAGCCGAACGCGGAAGTCGGCCTCGGCATCATCACCGGAGCTATCAGATTACTCTGATCTGGGAAATTGGTCGTGGGGGATTTCGACTCCTCCGGAAGGTTGAATCGAGGGTCCGGCGACGGGAACGGCGGCGGTTGCAGCGACTGTTTTTCTTCCTTAGGACTTGGGACGCGTTTTGAGTGTGGGTAACGATGAGCTGTTCAGGCTCACTCCGTCTGGAATTCGCACCCAGCGCAGCGTTTAACGAACGCAACGCTTCGATAAGATCTCGTTCGATCATTTTCATTGGAATAGGTCAAAGAGAGAGACTATCTCGTTTTCTTCTCGAGATCAGTATCCACGAGTCACAATAATTAGAACAATCAATTCGAACATACTTCTTCGCTTGATCTTCGTCGGTTGAGAAAACAAATGTAAACTCTGCAGAACGCGATACAAACGTCGGTACACCGCCTCATCGATACGCTAGTCAATATATGATGCGCTGGTGGATGTGTTGCTGGCGGCTCCGGTCAGCTCCCCGCTAACGAGGAAAAAACCTCGGCCACTCCGAAAGACTGGTCAGAACATGATCATGAACTTGTTGTTGCGGCGAGAGCATTCTTGCTCGCTCTGTCGCTTCGTCTCATCCATCCATCCCTCCATTCACTCATCCATTAACTGATTCCGCGGAGCAGACACGCAATCTGCGCCGCCGGAGGTCGTCTCGAGCCATCTGATTCGATCTATTCATGATAGATATAATATTTTTAAGCGAGCTGGTAGGCCGCGACTAATGATGGGCATCACCACCTCGAAACCTTTTGTCACGGACTGCGTTTCCTGCGCCGATTCGGGTAGCGCTTCGCGATGGGATCGACGACCGATTCAGCTTAGTCCTTAATGCTGCGACGAGGCCAAGTTTAATGTAGAGCGAGTGCGCGAACGAACGAACGAACGAGCTAGCGGGGCAGTAGCATCTACCACTGTTGTTGTTGTTGCTGGTTGTACGCGTAGCTTTGCCCTGTGCTTTCTTCGCCCCAAGCCGCATTCGGATCATAAACGGCTTGGGTATTCTGTTGATAAGTCGGATTACTCGGGGGCGCTGGTGGAGCGGGTTTCTGAGGCTGAAACGATAGCAGGCGTTTGTCACTCCACGAACTCGCGATTAGATAGATGCGGGTGGTCAATACACTCCGATCGTTGAACAGTCTCAAATGAGACTCGGAGAGTCCATGGGAGGATTCAAAGAAGTCATAAGGTCGGCTCGGACCAGGAGGTTTCACCTGTTGTGAGGACGCTGGGTCGTAGACGAAATTCGTCTCGGCAGTCGACCCATACGAAGGAGGGGCGGTTTGTTGGCCTTCGAACTGTGCGCTGGGGTCAGGATACCGAACCCCTGCTTGGGCGGGTTCGGCCTCTGTGGCTGGCTCAGCCCAGGGTTGTTTGTCACCCGAGGCGAAGAGCCCGTAAAAGATGACGCCAACGAAGTGGATCATTGCGGCTATGACCAATATCTTTTGCCACTGCTTCGCTGCCATTTCAGGATGCTGGAAGCGTAATCGGTGACATTTTAGTACACAGGCTGTTCGAGAGCATTGATTATTGCCTGTGCGAGAATATCTCGTCGAACGTGAATCTCCAAAATCGAATATTGGAGCACCCAATCCTACACCAGAGAGACGGTCAACAGGATATCGAGTACAGCTTTCTGAGGAGGGTCCTGGAAACGAAGAGACTACAATACACGGTGTGGCGAATCCCCATAGATAGCTGAATCCGAGGGGTGTAATATCAATAAATGAAGGCCCGCGGAGAAGCTTTTCTGTTGCGATGGGTACGAAACGTCGAACCCCTGCACGTCCCGTCTTCGGTTGCGACGCGGCGGTAGCGGCGGCGGCTAGAAACAACTTGCCTACGATCCTCGCAAGCGAGAGCATCGTGCGAACCAGAGGCAACAGAAAAAGCGACTCCCGGGTATCCAGTGCCCACGATTTCCCGAGTTTTCCTTGAGTAGGGTATCCCGGGTGGTGATCGCAACACACGGACATGGTAGAAAATCGAGACGGACACAGCCAGACTCATCACGGATCCGCCCCTCCAGAGAAAACGCGAGATCCGGAATCGGGACCCGTGAGCATTGATACGAAACGTGGAAGATACGGAATTTGCGTTATCTATATGTGTCTGTACTGCCGCAATCGGAGGGAAACCGCCGCGCCGTGCTCACTCGAATTCGAGCGAGAAGTCGGGGTTGCGCCCTCTCCCGAGCATTCGCAGATTTTCAGCGAGAGTTATCGCAAGAGCTGAAAGATATAGCCGCGAGATGGCGCCGTGCTCGGCTTTGAGGTCGTCGAATAAAGCCAGGCGGCGCTGTGAACCCACAAGCACAAAACCAACCCTCCCGATCCCAAATATAGGGATAACACATTGCGTCACTCATCCCCTGCACCTGCATTCCGTCGGCAATGCTCGCAGACGTCTTAGCTCTGTTCCGAGAGAGGCAAAAGGCATTTGGATGGCCTCGTGAATATTTATGCGTTTCCGACGAGAATCTTTTCTTTCCTGACAAGAGTTCTCTCTTATCATGCGCGGCTCCCGAGGCTCCGTCGGACTCATGTCAAAATGTAGCGAATAGCGTCTGTGACTGTCCCTTCTTCCCCAGACGTCGCGTCGTCCGGAGCCGAGATATTCTGCGGAGGTGCGCTGGCTATGGCAGCTGGAGCTTGCGTATGACTTACCTCTCTTTGAATCACTTTGTCCGTGATCCATTCGACGACGACCGGACAGAACATCCCGGCTAGAGTGCCGACCCCGTTCGATATACCCATGAGAATGGGCGCATACCGAGGCGCGATATCCAGATGGTTCACGTTAAAACCTGGATGCCAAAAGACAGTCGATGTGAACGTATCGCGTGACAGACGCTGGAACAGAGAGTCATCCACGCGAGCATGGGAAGTTTGATGCGGACGGGGGTCTGACCTGATATAGCGAATCCGGAGAAGCCGACAGCGAGCGTCAGAAATGCAGTAGCCGCGGTTGTGGAGCGGCTGAAGGCGACGAACAAGAGGAATAGGGCCTCCATGCCGAAACCGCCACAGTTGAAAAGCTTTCGCACCTGAAGGTTCCAATTCAATTCAGTTGAGGACTGACGACCGCGACATCGATCCCAAGTTCTGTTGACGGATACGGTGTCGTACAGCGGATCTAGTCGATGTCATTTCTGTGCTCGTTTACGTACTTGAGTTGTTGTCAGTATCTGTCGTTTACGGAGACGATCGGCTAGCTGTCCTCCGACCGGTACGACGCAGGCCATCAGAAGATGTGGAAGTGCTCCCAAGACACCGGACTATAATTCAGACTTACGGTGTGAGTGTGGCTTCGAGTACGTTCAATCGTCGTCGACGCTGTCACGTCGGCCTTTTGCAGCCTCCTTTCAGCGCTCGACAGCAAGCTTTCGAGCCGTTCTCGAAGATACGAGCTCCGTAATATGGAAAACTAACCTTTTTTAGGTCGAGGTTGTGAACTTCATCAAAATATTTTGGTTGTGATATAATCAATAGGTAGAAGGTCCATGATCGGCAAAAGTTTGCAACAATGATCGCCCACCTGCGAGTGAGCCTCACCCATTCAATCATCGGCGTCTCGATAGCAATATCAATGCGGCTCCACGATCCGATCGAGCGCTCGATCGATAGAATCGAAATACGACTCATACTTACACCGGAAGTGAGCAGAAGATATATTTCCAAGGGGTATTTGCAAAAGTCGGAGCGACCTGACTGGTGGTTCCTAAAGATTCTTCGATGTATTGACGTTCCTGTGCTGATATCGTGGGATGGGAAGCTGGCCGTTCGAAACTCAACCACAGCCAGAATATGTACCTGAGCCGAAATTTTCTCTCAGTCGGAAAACAGTGCGGACAAAAGGATCTCCTCACAACAACGATTCGATATCGTGCACGAGCGATCTAGTTCTGGCGTTAATCTTGGACATACCATATAATTCCACAGATGCCATAGAAGTAGAAACACAGACGCCACCCGAAGGCGCTGGTCAAAAAAGATGAGAGGGGAATTCCCACCACAGCACCTGCGTAAGATCCACAGAATGCCAGTGTTGCCAATTTACTCCGCTCCATGGGTGGAGCCCAGAATCGCCAAATTCCGTGACATGCTGGATACGTCACGCCCTGCAAACAGAGCGAGTTCGCTCAGAATATCGAATTTCCACTTTTGACTTATGATTCTGCAGGACCTCTCTGCAAACTGAGACTAGGTCCCGTGACGAACGGGTCGCGTGGCCAATAATAGAGCTCGCGAGGCTCGAGGATCGCCGGTGAGCTTCCGAACAGTCGGTCCCTCGTCCCCGACTACCTCCTTGACCTTCGCCACGGTCTCGAGAGAAGTATGCGGAGCGAAAGCAGTGTTTATCATTGAATGCTCCAAAGATTTGCGCCGCCCGCTATGGGTACGATCTTGTCCACGGAGGCGAATCTCGACGCTGGAAACGATATCCAGAGAGAGATATCTCTCGCGAGAAGCAAGCAACTCGACATCTCGGCCTTGTCCCGCTCCGAGAAATTTTCCGCATTCGGACATTGAACGTATTTGTCGGAGGATGCATTACGGTGCTGGCAAGACCCGTAATGCACAAGACCAGCAGAAAAAAGCTATCGCTGTTGCCATCGGCCACGGGGACGGATCTCATTGAGCAAACAGCTCAGCCAACCAGCCAGACAGACAACAAGAGGTCACGTCTTCGACTTCAGTATTCTCTTCTTCGGGCGGTCGGTCGGTCTCTCTTTCGCTGCTATCGCTTAGGCGAGCGAGAGACCGCTCGCTCGGCCGGGGAGCGCCGAGCCACGGCCGTGTAGTGACGGTGGGAGAAAGAAGAACGAGAACGGCAGCGGGCCATGTCGTTCTATATAGCAGCGACGCAAACGGACAGGGTGGGAGCCGCGTAGACGAACGCAAGAAAAAGAGCGAGGAACATGCAGCGGGAGAAGGAGAGAGCTGAGAGAAAGCCACTTTCGATTGGATGGCTCGCGAGCATCCTTTCACGTCTCAGCAGCAAAAGAGCAACAGGATGCAAGTCAGCCATGCAAAGTGAGCCTTGCAAACTTAATCGAGACCGAGGAGGAACGTGTCCACGTCACGCGTGTCTTGCGAATACGCGCGCGTACGTTCTACTGTTGCACTGTGTGTGTGTCTGTCTGCCTGCCCGCCTGCCTGCCTTTGTCACCAACGCTGCCACCGCCGGTGAGCTCGTTGAGAGCTCGCGGTCCGCTCGGAGTTCACGACGATCAATCGATCGATTGGCGGTGGCCGCCGGCGTGCTTGGCATGCTCTAGTCGGCTGCTCGGTCGCTTTGCTCTCGGCTGGGTATGTTAGGCCCGTCTCGACTCGGAGGTCGCTGCTGGCGAAAGGAACTCGCTTCACTAACCTCAATTAAACCCTGGGTCATTCGTACTAATACAATCGCACCGACGCCGATCGATGTTGAGGCTGGAATTAACATGTTCAAACACGCTGATGCGGCTATCGCCGTACCGAAAATCCGGTTGGCGGGGTATTTTGCGGCCAGGAAGCCGCCTGGCACTTGCGTCACGAGGTATCCAACGAAAAACGACGAGTCAATGAAACCGATTTGTTTTTCGGACCAATCGAATTCAGGCGTCTGGAAAAGTCGAAGATTCCGGATTCAGCTGGGTCGGTGGGCGTCGCCCGCTCGATCATAACACGTCCTCTTTTGACTAGGTGATCTGTACGGGGAAAATCAGTTGGGAAACGGGACGGGCTCCGGAGAACTGCGGGCACTTACCAACCCCTTAGTCATGGGAACGAGTGCTACGCCCCAGTTACATCGAATTCCGAATGACACCAAGAAGCCGATTGATGAGAGTACAGCCATTGTCATACGTTTCGAGAGATCTGGTTTGCAAGGGCAGTTGGGCTCGAGATGCCTGTGGAGGGATCAGGGTTTAGGCGGTCAGTATTTTTTTTTTATCCAAGCTTTTCCCGTCTTATCCACTCAAGAACGCTCGATCTGATCGTCTCCTCCCGCGGATAATAATCGGGCTTGACTCCTGTCATCGCATCCGACCGGAGCGTCTTCAACCCCCAATTTCCTGAGCGGTTTCTGGAGGAGGAGGAGGAGGAGCAGCAGCAGCTCGAAGGAGGGACGTTGACTCGCTAAATTAGAAGCTCCCAGGCATGTGAGACGTGCTCTCCGACCCTGAGCTACCGCGCCGCCTCGGGGATCGGCTCTGCAACAGCTATGCTCGCTCGTCTTCTCGATCATTTATTGGCTTCAATATAGCGTTTCATACCGTCGTCGGACGGACTTATCAGGTCGATGGGAGCACGCCTGTATGCAAGCATGCCGGCCGGCCGGCCGGCAGTGAGCGCGGGAGGCATACGCACGGGCCTCGCGGAATAGCTTTGTGAGAGGCCTGAATGAATTCGGCAAATAGGACGTTGCCACCGAGGGGCTAAGCGATAGAGCGGATGAATGAATGAGAGTGACCTACCTCCGCCAGTCCCGAGGTCCATGGTCGATTTCTACGTGATCAACTGAGTGTACGGGACCCCCCGGTACGTCTCCACCGCCGGCTTGTTGATAGGGCACGCCGCCGACGACGCCCCCACCGCCTCCACCGTCTTCATCGTCCAGTTGACCATACTTCGACGAGGCCCCGCTGCCACGTAACCGACTGTAAGAAGAGGAATTCTCTTTAATCTCCTGCTGATGATCCTTCGATCGATCGTTCTCCTCCTCCACGGAATTTCGCCCTCGTAGCAGATTTCAATGAGCAAAATGTCAGAATTCCTCCGCGACCGATCGGGGAACTCAACTCAGGACAGATAGGACACAGGACAACGGCCATTGCGGCTTCCGCCCCGAGGTCAGTGCAAAGACACCTCGGACCAGGATTTACGGCGCTTGTAAGAGTTGCAGCTGGTAATGTCTGTTAGTCGGCACACGACGATGACCCTTTCTCGGGCTCGCTCCTTTTCTTACGTTGAACCAGCGAGCCCGTCAGCCAGTCTAGTGCGTTGCTATGCGCATATATTAGCTTGCGCCGAATTTCATACCATCAGCCTTGCGCTGGCCGGGAGCATCATCGCCGCACTTCTGCGCTGCTGGCGCTCTCTCTTCGGAGCGTTTTGTAACCAGATAGGCAGAATGTTCAACAGTCGCTGTGACGAACGTTCGCCCGCCCCGTGGATTTCTTGTCACTGGGTGGAGTCTCGGTAGGTTACTTCTAAGCGGCGGAGCGAGCTTTGCATTGATCCTCATTCCCCGCTTTCGAGATATACTCAGGTATAGGCAGCTCAGACATCAACGGTAAACCTCATCCGAATGTTCGTTCCATCACGTTGTTGGCACATCCTTTCAATTGTGAACTGTGAGTCTTTTCATGTGTCTCCGACTTCTCGAGCCATGTATCATCCGTCATCGCCTGAGAGCACCGTCTCTCGCGTGAGGATTCAATGTTGGTCCGAGGTGCTGTCCTGCTCTCTCGCGGAACACGATGAATGGCTGAGACACCTCCCTGCGACACGCCGTCATCGCGATGGACTGCAAGCTCCCGCACTCTCAGAAAAATACATATATCACCCAAGAACGTCTTCCCCCCCACCGGCGGCTACGGTTCCTAATTGCGACAGACGCCGGGAAGAACACGAGTTCGCCCCTTTTGTTGTTCCCGGGACGAGTATCCCACAGCAGACAGTACTGAAAAAGCACTAGCTCTTCGAAAAACCCATTTATGTAGATTATCTAAAGGCATATCTGATTCTGCGCACCGTTGCGATGGCTCGTTCGAGCGGGGAGATCTATTTCGCTGCCAGTAGCGACGCTGTCAAGGGGGCCGTTGGGTTGCAGCGAGAATTCGAGCGGGATTCTCAGCTCGGTCGATGGCGCACATCGACGGAGCAGGGGAGCAGAGCGAAAGAAGCAGAGAAAGGGAGCGCTAATGCGGTTTGGGGAGACTCATCCGACGTTGCCCCTTTCGAAATATCGCTCGGAATGTACAATCGGGGATCAAGTCCGAGCCTCGTCCTCCATATCGGACTTGGAAACAAGTGTTCGTCTCCCCGATGGGTCGCGAAGCCTTCGAAAAAGCGCATCGAGGATATCCATGTTTCATCTCACATGCGAGTTCCCTCGGCAGTCTATTGTGCGAGCGAGCGAGCGAGCGAGACAATGCAGGAGGGGAGGGAGGAGGAGGGAGGAACGAGCCGAGCGGCTCATCGCAACGATGAGGTGAAAATATTATGGTATGTACGAGACCACTCGGGACCCTGGAACGATCGGCTCAGGCATAGGCTGAATCAAGGGGGAAAGGGATCGCGAATCCGCGCCTTCAGACGTCCCGGGGCATTTAGAAGCAGAGACGATCTCATTCTCGGCCGAAAACGGACCTGGATTCGGGTTGACAGCTTGCCGATGAATCGAATCAGCCCGTGTCTGCGTAGGATAATGATGACGACGCGGGAGCTGACACTGAATCGGAAAGCAGCGCCCCGAGTGGAGGGGAGCGAGAAGCAGACGGATTTCCGGCCTTAAAACACTCCAACCGAAGGGGTGCATTATTAAGTGAGGCTCGCGCGCTGCCTCCAATCGAAAGCAGCCGAGAGCCCTCTAGAGGCCGTGAGAGAAAGACAGGGAGTTAGTCGAGGCGGTAGGCCGAACCGTCGCTCGGCAGGCAACAAATCTGCATCCGAGTCAAACGTTAGAAGCCGACAGGGAGACTACTCAGTTGCGTTGCCCGACTGACTCAAGGGAAGCGTTGAGACTTCGCACGCTGTTTCAGGCGAGGCAAGGGAAGTCGATGCGACCGAATATTACCCCAGGAATTCTGGAATGAAATTTTCGTTCTAGTCGTTCCAGGAAGTTCCTTCCTCCGTTGTGACACGCTGTTGCTATGATCGATCGAGGGAGCCGTGAGTGGTGCTGGAACTCGCGAACACGACACGATTGTTGGATCGAGGGAATACCGCGGGATTCATATCCTCTTACGATGGGGTTGCCCGGTCTCTGCGAAAGAGACCGGGTCTCGGTCAATATTTGCCGAGCAGTAATTTCCTTTTGATATTTGCATTGGACCATATAGCACGAATCGAGTCGGACAAGATCGAGAAGCAGACGTTCGCCTCGTCTAGCCTCAGTCTGGATGCTTCGATGAGATGCGAGTACCAATGAATAATGTTCCGTGAGATTAAAACTCGCGGTTAGAGCCAGGGGAGCGATGCTCCGCTTAACCCCGGAGCCATCTCGTTTCGCTGCGGCCGAGAAGTTGACTTTTCCTATAACAGCATCTTCTCTTGTTTGCAGTCTGATCCCCGCTGTCGCTTCGTATTAGAGCACCATCATTTCGGTTGGATGCGCCCAGTTCCTCGCTCTCCTCCCTCTTCGTCGTCCTCCCTACAATTTCCTTTCTCGCGCTCATTCGCCTCTGCTGCCTTAACTCGCTAGACAATCTTATCTCGGATGTTCTCGGCACGACAAGTCACGCTGATGTATGTATGCGTTCGCTGGAGCGTTGTTTTTACCTTCGACCGAGGCGTCGCGTGGGGTTTCATAGCGGATTGCCCGGAAATTCTCCTTCGGGAAAATTTCCACGCGAGGCAAGCGAGCCCTAAGCATATCTCTGTTTGAGGGGTGCTGGTTCTAAAAATGATCTGTGCTGCTTTCCGTATCGCCGTCGTGAAAGTCGTCTCAGAAGAGAAGACAGATATTAAATGCAATGCGTTCCTCTCAGTGCGATAAGTTCTGCTGGCTTCTGCTGATTGTTTGCAATGTGCCAGTGGGGCACCGCACTCTGACGCTCGAGAGTGCAGATCCAATGAACGCTGCAGCTGTTTGACGAGAAACAGACAATCTTCTCTCCACCGCACTCATTTCGTTCCAGAAGCGAAAAGTTTGAAACATCCTATCCCGAAGGCGCTGTTGGTCTGTGCCATTCCTCATTTTCGGCTCAGGAAAATTGGAAAGTCTAATATGCGCTCTGGTAGCTCGGTTTCCTTTCTTGCTCTCATAAGAGCTGGGAACGAGTTTCCCGCGAGTTGCTGCAGCTAGCGCCGTTTTTCGAGAGGTAGATTCAAGGCGCAAGAGGGACTCACGTAGCACGCCTACTCGATCGCGGGATCCTCTCGTGTGCGGATAGAATAATTATATGCATCGAATCTTTTCTCTCAAGCATTTCGGAACGGAAACGCTCGCCGAAAGTTCTGGCGAACAGGCTGGCGCTCACACGAGCCTGATTTCAAAGGGGCACCAAGCTCTTCGGTCCGTTCCGGTGTGCTGCCTTCGGTAGTGACGATTAATCGTCGTGGGGTTTCGGCTGCGGGAGCGGAGGACGCCGTCAGGAGTCGTGGTCTGTGCCCCGATCCGTCCGCAAGATTAACCATCGACTCAATCTCGGTAGTTTCAGGTGCGTCCCTGATATAAGAGTGCATTGCCGGAGATCCGCAGACGCGGAGCTCATTGGAAGGGAATCTCATCGGAAGAGGCGAGGCCACGGAGAGTTTTTATGCAATTGAATGAGGTTTTAACACGCCGACCAGGAGTTTTAGAGCATCGTGGAAAGGCTGACAGACCGCAAAAATTTAGAAACTGTTCGTCCCCTCGGTTCTGGGAAGGGAAAACGCAGGCGGAACGCGATGGGACGATTCTTTTACCGTGAGGTATATCCCGACCACATCTGGGAGATCGGATCCTCGATCTCGCAATATTCGAGAAACTGGAAAATTTTGTGATCGCAAAGAAAATATTAGCGAGGGGGATGAAATTGTATTTGGACGGCTCTCAAATCCATTTCCCTGATCAGAATTCGTTTCCCTTCCATGCGCTCTTCTCCTGCTTGGGTCTGACTGAGTCTTGCCATCAGAGTCACGATTGTCCGAAAACTCGACAGCATTCGTGCTCTCCGGAGCATTCTTTTTTCGTGCACATCGATCTCAGCCTAAACTGATTGCATAACGAACGAGGGGGATTTCATGGACGAAATTCCCTCGCAGAAATCTATACGGCGGAAGCTTCACGATGTCAGGAAGGTACACGAATGACTGACAATGAGCTAGATTCAGTGTTCATGGTATGCCGGGAACAAATGGAGTGAAACGTCTCGAGGACGGCTCGGAGAGCTTTGGCTGAGCTTGAAATCAGTCTCATCGAGTGACTTTTTTGACGAATTGTCTCGGAACTTGAGCACAAGCGGGGAATTCGCTCCATCAGTCTTCGAGAGCTGTCGGTAAGCGCCTACAGACGGAAGCTTCCAAGAGGCGAGACTCCTGTGACTCCGTTTGTACAGGCCTCGTAGGCCTGCTCTCGATCGCAGGAAAAACTTCCCGTCGGGAGTCTTCCGGAACTCTTCCGGGCGATCGTCATGATGTCGTCGATGCGAGTACTCGTTCTACTCGTGGATTGGTCCAGCCGCCGCGATGCAGGTCGGTTTTCCCGCAGGAAACTTTCGAATCTGTCGAGTCCAGACTAGCCGCTGCAGAGCATACACTGACCCGCTTCGATATCACGAGGGGATTCCGAGCTGCATAGAGAGTTTTAGCGCCGAGCTCCATATTCGAACGAGATAACACCACCGTCACGAAGCTGAGTTAGTCGATAAATTCTGCGTACGTGAGAATTTCCAGCGCGTTCAGGATCGCGCTGCCGCTCGTTCGTTCGTTTTCGCGGCTAGCGAATGGTTCGCCTAGGATAGTCGTATTTAATAGCACTTGGTTATAGTCTGTCTTGTGAGACTAGTCTTCGCTATCAACTTACCCAAACACCGATCCGAGCTTTGTGTTTGGCAAGTTCTTTATTGTAGATTTGATGTTGGACAATTCGAATCCTTCGTGGGCACTTGAAGCCGGTTTCCTGGAAGAGAAATTGCAGAAGTCAATCGCAGAGAACGAAGATGGGAAGGAACGTCGTACCACCCCGCTAGGAGCTTACTCCTCGCTTTCATGGTGGGATGGGGACGAGCTCGTACCCATGCAGACAGAGGGACGATATTGGAGGTGCCGTCATATTCGCTAATGCACAAACGGAAAACATCGAGAGAGGGGACACTAGCCGAAGTGAGCTGAGTGCGCGGACCCGGGATGTGGCTCTTTGTTCCATATTCACCCCGACGAGCTCGGTCGCTGCGTCGTCGACCGTCCCGGGGGAATAGGAGAATACATTGATGTCGGACAGACTTTTTGTTTCACAACGAGATCTTTATATACTTCTTCCTACCAGACATGCTGGTGGATTTCGAAAACCTGCGGATCTGGCTGGGGTTTCCTTCATTAGCCATCTGAGGGAGATGTTCAGAGCGATAGTTTTCGGGGACATTCGGCCGACGCCGAAACTTACTTCTGTGACACGACGCGAAAATTCCCTGATCGGGCGTCAATTTCCGTGAGAGCCGGTACGAGAGGATTCGAAGTCCCCAAATAAACTTGTTACACGGAGCAGGTTTTTCCAGTAGGGACGCAGTTCCTGTACGACCCGCCCAGCGATATGCTCCGCAATCACACCTCGCGATCTCGCGGATCCCTCATACGATCCGTGAGAACGATTCCGTCTGTATCGCGATCCCTCCAAGTTCGAATGATCCTTCGAGGAGACGCTCATATTCGAATATCTATCAGAGTTTATACGCAATGCTCGACAGAGTACAACGGTGTCGCTTCTCTTTTGAATGCATTACTGTCATCGAGTCCGACGAGAGGAAATTGGATGAAGAGTTCACAGACAATGGATCATCACTGCGCTGACTTCAGCCCGCTTGGGGGATTTGTTGGAGCCTCGCGGGTGGTATGGCCAGCGGTGGTCGCTACTGCTTCTGCTGCGTTATGCCTCATCATCGGTAATCTCATCAAGGCAAGAAGCGATGGCAGCAAGGCAAGTCAGACTGCCTGTCCGGCTGTCCGACCGTCCGAGAGCGCCGCGCCACCGGTGAGTGTGCCGGAGAAGGACACGTTCGACGAAAGTAGAGTGCAAAGGAAGAACGGAGACGACCGTCGGGACGACGACTGCAACGACCAGAGCCAAAAGAGAGAATTATCTTCTCATCGCCTGGCCGTCATCATCATTGTCCGCCGCTGGAAAACCATTGCGGAAAGCGGCGCCATCGAAGAAAGTGAGAGAGGACGAAAGTGAGTGCACTAAGCCTGAAGACAAAGAATGAAATGATGGCTCCCGTTCTGTTCGAATAATAGACGGAAAGAGAGAGGGGGCACGCGGGCGAACCTGTCCGCCCAAAGCCATCGTCTTCATTTGGTCTCACTCCTCAATTTCGATCGAGCTGGGTGAGGAAGAAGTAGTGTTGGTGGTGATGGTTGAGGGGCTTGGGAACATCATAGAGCGGTGAAGAGGCATCAAGCCGGGAACGCCCCTGTGCTCTCAACAGTTAGCATGTGCTCTTCCTCTTCTGGGATTGAGGTCGAACTTTTCTCGTCAGCTCATTCAGTCCGGCTTTGCGATTCGCTATTAGCGTTCGAGGGTCTGCAGGCCGGGAATTCCCTCTCGAGTAGTTCTCGAAATCCTGCGGCTTTTCCCGATAGGATAGAAGCAAGGACAGGCTGCCGGAGGTGAGGAGCGAGTGGGAGGGAAAACAACAGAAAAAAACGAATCTTCACCAGAGCCTCAAATCCAACACACTCCGCAGAAAATTCTCGAGAATTCGGAGAAAATTGCGTCTGTACACCCCCTTCGGTATTCACGTTTGGATGCGTCATACGTATCTTGCCAGCTATCGTAAACGAATGGGTTCTCGAGCATCCGATGCCGCCGTGCCGCCTCCGCAGCATAGGCTCCGATGCAATCAGGTAGCGACCGTGAAACGATCATCCCGCTACGAACATCGTCGTCGTCATCATCATCATCAACGACATCATCGTCGAGAGAGCCGTAGGAATCAATTCATGTTTCAGCGGATCACGTTGCTTCCTCGGACTTCTTCCGTTCGAGTGGCGAGACACTGATTGGTCATTGGATGACCAGCTCGCTCGCTCGTCGGGCGGGTGAGCGGGGGCGGCGGCGGCGAGGCTCATTGCATCGATAGTAGCAGACACGAGAAAAGAGATGATTGCCTCTATCGCTCCTACCAAAAGGTCAACAAGTCGTTTCGGAGCTGCAACCCGTTTTATTAGCGATAGCAATCGGAAAAGATACAATTTCTCTTCTTGAAACGTTTCTCCCTCTGCCGGACCCACTCCCCAGTCGTCGTTATTTTCTGCTCGCAATCGACAGACGATCGGAAGAACCCTCGGATACGATTCATGGCTGATAGCGATGCTGCCAGCGCTGTTCATAAAAACAAGAAAACAGAAACGAATACGAAAGCGATGCAGCACGTCGACATCCATGCGTGAGGACGTGCGAATTCCGAGTCGTCCGCATGACGTGCTACGATCCGGAAGTGCGCGGAGGCAGGACAGCGCTGCCTATCTGATTCATACATATACGCCGCCCTTGCACGCCTTCGCTCATATCGGACAGATTTCGCAAGGGTCAAATGTATCACCTTAAATCACTAGACGAGATCGGTAGGAAGAACAATTGCACCCTTAGGGCTAATGCTGAAAGGCAGACCTGAGAGGGGGAGTGTGCCGCTTTTACGCGAACTGGCGCGAGATTCCAGCATCAGGTGGTGTCGTAAAAATGATTTTGGTGACCTTCCTCCCGCTCCGTCAATCTTCCAATCGATCCCTCAAAGCTGAACGATATTCGTAATGGAGCCAGGAGTCCAATGAGTGAGTAGGAAACCCACGACTCGAACCGATTTTCGGACCGGAAATCTCAGTTCCGAGGAACCCGGTGAAGAACGATAGAGCTCGAAGCGCTATGTCGACGCAGCGATGGGGATCGGAATTATTATCCTCCCCTCCGTATACGCCGGACAGCCTCCTCCGGCAACTTTGTTAGTGTAATCTCTGTAGACTCTGTAACACGAGCCCGAGACTTGATTAAGTATGCGCTTGATGACTCGAGACGTGATACACCTATCGAGTCTCGAGCACGGACACTGAGATTGAGCAAGGCGATATAGAGTGCAGTGTAAACTCTGCGAGCCAGTCGACACTCGAGGCGCAATCGACTTCGGCATATTTTCCCGTCTGAATATTGAGACATACGAGAAATCTTCCAACCTCCAGCGAATGTAGTTCCACAAAAAGCCATTTGAGTTGCCCCGAGATACATTAGCGAGGGGAATAAACGAATTTCATCAAGCTCAGCGGATCATCCCGAACAGCGGCTAGGGCGCATTCGCGTCACGTCATTTTCCTTAAGCGATCGTTGCAAGCCAAATTTTGCCTCTGTGCGAAGAACTTCGAGAGAGACGGTGCAGCGCGCCATTAGCGAGCCCGCGCGGCGAGCTCGACCTCGGCTCGGGAAGGAAAGTCGATTGTGTTTTTGTTCCATATCGAAATTTTGCTCTCACGGATTCGACTGCAGCCAACAACGGGAAATGTCTATAATCCAGAGAGACTCCATCGGTACAACGAAATTAGAATTACGGCGACGTAGACTCTGTTTTCTCGAGTGCACGGGGGAGTTGTTCGCGCTCGAGTCAGCGAATATTCGAATATCGGACGAGCGGTAGTAATTCGGTTCCAAACGCGTTCGAATTCGCGTTCGGTCGCGCGGATCCTCCCATCCTGAGCGAGAAGCGATTTCAGCTAAATCCCTTCTTCGTCTAGTCCGTTTCCGTTCTCCAGGCATTATTCAGCGGTGGGGATTCCGAATGGAGCAAACGACGGAAGACGACATAGAAGAGGGAACGTGAATCGGGCAACTCCCAAAACGAAAACTCGCTGATGCACTGCACCTCGCCGTCGTTGTAGGGAGCCCTTTGCAGAGCCGTCGATACTCGCACTATGCCCGCCGCCACCCTGTTCCAACTTGTTGCAGATTTACAGCCTTGCTCCGGAGGCTCAAGGTGATTGCGTCAGCCCGAGAAGCGAAACCTTCCGGTCGTTCAGTGAACGAGCAGCTCGCGCAGATCGTTCAAGTCGACCGACCTCAACTCTCCACGACCCTGACAGGTTCCGTTCGGCACATACATAGATCAGTTCTGCGACGACTCTCTTCTCATTCCGAAAAGTGGCTCACGTCGCGTCTTCCGCGTATCCCGAAAGGAGCCGGCGCAAGTCTTTTCAGGTTCCCAGCAATCTATGCACATGCTGTAATAACGAGAGCGTGGCGACGTTCTTCCCTTATCTCCTGCGAGGTCAGAGACGTTCTCCGGAGTGTGACTCGGGGATCCGTCGTCGGTGAACAGTAAAGCACGCGACTCGTCTCCGAGGAAAACTTGGCCGCCTCTGCCCCTCCAGGAGAATGCTCTCTCCTGCGTCGGAGCTCAATCCGCTGCTCAATGTGCCTCTGCTCACAATCGGCTCACATGAGGAGCAGGAGATGCGGTTACGGCGGGAATTCGAAGTTCGGCCACGAAGGATCCTGCGGTATCTGAACCTGGCCCGAAGTAGCTAGGGCCGTTGCGCGTTCTCAGGAGAAAGTGTTTCGCGCCTGAGGGAAGTGCCAACTTTGGGCCAACGTCGGAGGGTTGACCACTGTGCTCTAACTAAGATGATAAGTTCATTAGTCCCCGTGTCATCGTCACCGAGAGGCTCCAGCTATCGCTGGAGTAGTGCCGACAGCCGAGCTGTCGAATCGTAATCCGCACGAGCGAACCCTCCAACAACCTGACGAAGCAGGCACGACAAGAATACCGCTTGCTCAACTGGAGTGAAACAAGAAAGTCTCGCCGACGACGCGCGACGGGTCCTCGGCGAAGCTTGGTAACCTTTTCTTTGAGCGGCGAGTGACCCCCGTTTTCTCGTCGCTGCTTGAGTGAAGCGACGCATTTCAACGAAAGAGAGTTTGCGCCCGCCAGACTCAGCGCTTTGTGCGTTATCTGATAACCACTTATTTTCAGAGTTCCGAAACGGTTTGGCGGCCTCCGATTTCCCGGGGAGGGAGGATGCTGAAGAGGCGGCGCCGAATTTCCGTTTCCCCAGCAGCGCCCAGCAGACGGACCA